CACAAATACATTCACATTAGAATACTTTGCCTGTTAATTACAAAAAAACAGAAAACTGAAGGGACTGGGGATGTAGCTCAGTGGTAGAGCATTCGCCTGGTATGCCAGAGACCGTAGGTTCAGTTCCCAGCACCACAAATAAATAAATAAATAAAAACTAAGTCCATAAAAAGCAGTATTTGAGGAACTGAGCAAAGACCATATTAGACATACAGAAAAAAAAAAATAGCTAAATGGCAGAAGTGAGACCTTCCCTCTCAATACTTGCTGTAAATATAAATGGGTTAGATTCTCTAAAGGGCAGAGATGGGCAGAATGAGCTTTAAAAGAAAAGCATGCTGTATTCAAAGAAACTTACTTTGACACAAAGATAGGAAAAGATATTCCATAATAATAGTTTATTTTAATAACAGCTATAATATCAGGTAAAATTTTATGTCAGAAAGTAGCAGTAGACGAGGAAGGTTAAGAAGGTCTGTATATACCGATAGAAGTCTCATCAAGAAGATAAAATTGAAACATGCACAACTAATAACATGCACAAAATATAAGAGGCAAAATGGACATAATTGAAGGGAGAAATCCAGACTGGGAGACTTCAATGCCTCACTTCCAATATTGAATAGAAGAGCCAACCAGAGGTGGATGAGGAACAGAGGTCTTGAGCAAGATGATGAACCCTAACCCTTAGAGGACCTAAGTGGCCGCAGAGGGTGCGTCCTCTCAGATGCATGTGGACAGACACGTGTGTGAGGCCAGGAACAGCGGGTACATCTAAAGGATTGACGCATGCTGAGTCTCTTTCCAAGTTGAGTGGGAGAAACGAGAAGTCAACGGCAGAAGGAGCTGGGCTGACGGTGAATCTGTAGAATTCAAACAGCACGCTTCTAAACAACCAGGAGGTCAAAGACAAGATCATGGGGAACCCCATGATGTCCTGCAAGTAGGAAAACAACAAAAGCACTGCTCAGAGGGACTGGAGAGCTGTGAACACCCACGGTAAAAAAGGAAAGATCTAAACCAGCTGCAATGGCCCACACCTGTGATCCCAGTGACCCAGGAGGCTGAGGCAAGAGGATTACAAATTTAAGGCCCGCCTCAGCAGTGTAGTGAGACCCTGTCTATAAAATAAAAAAAAAAAAAATAGGCTAGGGATGTGGCTTAGTGCTTAAGTATGTGCCCTTGGGTTCAACCCTTGATACCAAAAAGAAAAAAAAAGAAAGAAAGAAAAAGATCTCAAGCTAGGTGAAACCCAGCAGCTCAGGAGGCTGAGGCAGGAGGATCACAAATTTGAGGTCAGTCTCAGCAATTTAATGAGGCTCTAAGCAACTTAGTGAGATTCCGTGTTAAAAAATAAAAAGGGCTGGGGATGTGGCTCAGTGGCTAGGTGGCCTTGGGTTCAATCCCTGCTACAAAAAAAAAAAAAATCTAAAATCATAAAATCAGGGGCTGGGGATGTGGCTCAAGCGGTAGTGCGCTCGCCTGGCATGCGTGCTGCCCGGGTTCGATCCTCAGCACCACATACAAAGATGTTGTGTCCGCCGAGAACTAAAAAATAAATATTAAAAAATTCTCTCTCTCTCTCTCTCTCTCTCTCTCTCTCTCCTCTCCCACTCTCTCTTTAAAAAAATAAATAAATAAAATAAAATCATAAAATCAACTGCAAAACAGTATGGCTTAGAACAAAAACAAAGACCCCTAAATCCAAAGCTACAAAAGGAGGAAAATAATGAAGATTAACCAGAGACAGAAAAGAGAAGAGCCACAGAGAATCTCAGTGAAACCAAAAGTTGGTTCTTCAAAAGGAACAATGACATCGACAGACCGTTAGCTAGGTTAACAAAGAAGAAAAGCGGAGGACTTGGATCACTCAGCGGGACGGGAACACACACGGGACACCAGTACCCACTGGGCAGAAATGAGGAAGCCCATGGGAGTCCTGGGCACCGTTAAGCCCCAGCAGCCTCCAAGGGCAGGTGGTCCAGCCACACCCAGGAACAGAGGGCCCCTCAGGCCACAGAACCACAGTGAGGACGAACCCGAGAACATTGTGATGGCCTTGAAGAAACATCTGGAATAGGCGGATTCATGGGGACAGAGAGCAGAGTGGAAGTTCCAGGCCATGGGAGTGGGGAACGGGTGGGCTCATGGTCAGTGGCCACAGAGCTTCTGTTGGGGCTGATGAAGAATTTTGGAACTAGTGGTGTGATGGTTGCTCGCAGTGGGGTGGATTAATGCCACGTAACCCTTCTCCTGAATAGAACTTTTGTGGCCTGGTGGGCGGTGCGCACTTCAGTCCTCTGGAGTGAGGTAGGAGGATTGATGGAGCCCATGAGTTTGAGACCCGGCTGAGCACTGCAGTGAGATGCCAGCTCAAAAAGTAATAATAATAATAACAACAGCACTTGCAAGGACCACCGTTCCTGACCCATGCGGCTGCCCTCCTACAGCGGAGGACGAAGCAGGACATTTGACACTTGTCTTGCTGGCTTTCTCTGATCACCAAATAGGAACTTGTGGAATTCAGCACCAGGTAGGGGAAGTGGCACAGTCAGGCTTACAAGGTGGCGAGGAAGTCCCCCAGGAAGAGGACCAGCCCGTGGCGAGGGACTTGCCTCCTCGGTCCCTCAGGCCCTGGCACCTTTCCCTTACATGACAATCCTCTGGAATCCTTGCTCTAGACCCCCAACTCCTGTCCCTGCTGTTTTGTGTTTGGGGAGAATGGCAACGTGCCGCTGAAGGCCACAGTGGCCTTCCACGCACCCTGCCACCCACAAGTCAGTCCCAGCGCCCGCCACCCGTGCACCACTGATTGGACCCAAAGGGCCCCAGACAGTTGGGCCCTCTGCCAGGTGCCTCCAGGGCTTACCCTGGCTGGGGCTCCCGGGAAGCTGAGAGCTGGGTGCCGATTCCTGCCAGCAAAAGACCCCCATACTCCACCCCTGCCCCTGTCCCTTCTCTAAAATGAAGGTCAGACTTTAAACATTCTGCAGCCTGGCACCTGACCCAGATGACCTGTAGCATTAGACCAAATGCCTGTTGCTATTAAGGACGACTGACAGCCCCTCCTCCCTTTAATCTTGAAGCAAAGACAGACACCGGACAAAAGAGATGCAGTTTTATTCAAAAGAGCTCAAGAGAGGAGGTGGACCCTGGGGTCCCACCCTTGTGGCCTCATGGGGCTGAGGCTC